GCAGGGGGGTGCTACCGGATCTGACGCGGACACCTAGGCAGACGCAGCTAGCTGAGGAGGCTCAGTAGTTAGTGTGTACAGACTCGACCTAGGCCAACGGGTGAACGTGGCCAGGTGACGGCCCGTCCGTGTACACGTGCAGATCGACACACGCTGACCCCCAGGAGTGGTGGTAGTGACCATCGCATCCTGGAGGGCAGCGGTACTCACCAAGTTCGTAGAGAATGAGGGGAGGTGAAGACCTGACAGTGAGCCGGATGGAACCGCCGGACACGGGAGAACAGTGGAGGAACGGGCAAGAACTGGGCCCCCTGAGGGATCATCCACTCTGACCGGAACAGGTGCAGAGAGTGGAGTGAGAGTGGTACTGTGACAAAAGAAACAGCGGGAAGCACCTGAGTCAAGCGTAAAGGTGTGCAAGGCCTTAGCAGGCATAGTACCAGGGAGAGCAGACTCACTAGCACCTAGAGCAGCAGCCTCTATACCTGGGTCGGGCGGCACACACAGGTAATAGTCACGCTCAACACTAACAGACAAGGCATACATAGCAGCAAGGATAGCATCATAGTCAAGAGCAAAGATATCAACTCCAGACCTAAGCAGCTCTGCCCAGCGGGGGCGCTCGGCCTCGTCACCAAACTCTGCACGCCAAGCGTCGTCTAGGCGGGAGAAGCAGCGGTGCTGGGTGTGAGGCTTCCCGCATGTCTGACCAGCACGGTCACCCGTGCGAATGACATACAAGCAGCTAACACTACCCCCAGACGACCCACGCTGAGCAAACCACTCACGAAGCTGCTGGGGTGACGGGGTCTTGCTCCGACGCTGCTACTGCTGCCTCTGGCCACCGCCAGAACCTCCCCTCGGAACAGCTCCACCCCGACTGCCACCACTCCCACTGCTGCCACTACCGCCACCCCCACCGCTGCCACCACCGCCGCCACCAAAGCCCCCACTCCCGCCACCACTCCCACCGCTGCCACCACCTCCGCTACCTCCACCACCTCCACTGCTGCCCCCACCACCACCCCCGCTGCCACCGCCACCGCTCTTGCCACCCTTGCCTTTGCTGCTGCGGTGCTTCCCACTAAGAGCAGAAGCAGCCCCGACATCCGCAGTACCATGGATGTCAAAAGCAGAAGCAGAGGCGTAGGAGGGGGCAAGGGGGGAAGGGGAACACCCCTCAAAGAAGGGTGTGCGAGGAGTGCCATGAGCAGCACCTACAATGACTACGCTAGTCTCAGCTGCAAGGAGGTGCTGCTCGAGTAGGTCAACAGTGAGGTCTGTGGGGTCAAGTGCGAGAAAGTGGTCCCTGACAGCGCGAAGAGAGTCAGGGAGGCGGGTGACTATAAAGTAGAGAGTGATGTACATCGGGGGCGGGTTCCTGTCAAGGAACTCTGCTGGGAGGGCAGCGGGGTAGCGAGCGTCGCTAGTGCGAAGGTGGGAAACGAGGTCCTCTACCGTGGCAAAGTCGGACAGCTCGGGAAACAGGTAGGGCAGTAGAAGACGGCCTAGAGCAGCAGTGGCAGGGGAGGAGTAACGGGCGACTACAGCATCGTACAGTGCTTTAGCAGTGTTGTGCTGTCCGAAGTGAGCGCGTTCGGCTAACGGAAGGTGGTTCCGAACGGCTAAGCGAGCAGCAGCGTCACGGGTAAGCCACTGTGAGCGAGTCGCACTGTCAGCTGTGGCGGGAGGGGCGAGAGAGGCTCCAGACGTGTGGTCAAACAACGAAACGCTATCTCTAGAATCGCTCAGCAGGTACAGCTGTAAGTCGTCGAGCCACGTATCGAACTGGATCGGACGGCCCTCATGATCAAAGGTGAGTACACTGAGAGAAGCCATAGCAGGCAGAGCAGGGCGGCGTGCGGCAAGCAGAGTAGCGAGCAGAGCAAGACAGGGCAGCGAATGGCTACCGCGGCGAGCGGGCCGCAAGGGGTGGCGAGCGGGCCGCAAGGGGCGGCGAGCGGGCCGCAAGGGGCGGCGAGCGGGCCGCAAGGGGCGGCGCGCGGGCTGCAAGGGGCGGCGAGCGGGCCTCAAGGGGCGGCGAGCGGGCCATAGGGGCAGCGAGCGGGCCGCAAGGGCGGCGAGCGGGCCGCAAGGGCTGTGAGCGGGCCTAAGGGCGGCAGGCGGGCCGCAAGGGGCGATGCGCGGGGCTGCAGGGACGGCGCGCGGGGCTGCAGGGGCGGCGCGCGGGGCTGCAGGGGCGCCGCGCGGGCCGCAAGGGGCGGCGAGCGGGCCGCAAGGGGCGGCGCTCGGGGCTGCAGGGGCGGCTCGCGGGGCTGTAGGGGCGGCGCGCGGGCTGCAGTGGCAGCGCCCGGGGCTGCAGGGGCGGCGCGCGGGGCTGCAGGGGCGGCGCGCGGGCTGCAGGGGTGGCGCGCGGGGCTGCAGGGGCGGCGCGCGGGGATGCAGAGGCGGCGCGCGGGGCTGCAGGGGCGGCGCGCGGGCTGCAGGGGCGGCGCGCGGGCTGCAGGGGCGGCTCGCGGGCTGCTAAGGGCGGCGCGACGGGCTGCAAAGGGCAGCGCGTGGGCCAGCAGTGCGGTGCGCTGTTAGGGCAGGGCAGTGAGTGGGGCAGCTCTGTGGTGGGCCCTAAAAAAACGGTCCTAGGGAAGGACCTGCTCTGAAACCATGTCAGAATATTGAACGAGAATGAATGAACTATGAAAGAGTTGGGTACAAGTACTAACCCTAATTGGGTTGTACCCCTTATGGGCTACCCCACTATAGCCTACACAAAGTAAGCAGTGTAACATTTTGACACTCCCAGCAGAACCTTCATCAGCAGCAGCAGTAGCACGAGCAGCAGCAGCAGCAGCAGCAGCAGCAGGGCGGCGCAAGCAGGGCGGCGCAAGCGGGCTGCAAAAGGGGGGCGAGCGGGCTGCCAGGGGCGACAAGCGGGCTGCAGGGGCGGCGAGCGGGCTGCAGGGGCGGCGCGCGGGCTGCAGGGGTGGCTTGCGGGCTGCAGGGGCGGCGCGTGGGCTGCTAAAGGTGGCGCGCGGGCTGCAGGGGCGGCGAGCGGGCCGCAAACGGGCTGCAGGCGGGCTGCAGGGGCGGCGAGCGGGCTGCAGGGGCGGCGCGCGGGCTGCTAAAGGCGGCGCGCGGGCTGCAGGGGCGGCGAGCGGGCCGCAAACGGGCTGCAAGCGGGCTGCAGGGGCGGCGAGCGTGCTGCAGGGGCGGCGCGCGGGCTGCTAAAGGCGGCGCGCGGGCTGCAGGGGCGGCGAGCGGGCCGCAAACGGGCTGCAGGCGGGCTGCAGGGGCGGCGAGCGGGCTGCAGGGGCAGCGCGCAGGCTGCTAAAGACGGCGCGCGGGCTGCAGGGGCGGCGAGCGGGCCGCAAACGGGCTGTGCGAGTAGCTGCAGGGCAGCGCGACACTGTGCTAGCAGGGCCGGACAGCGCAAGGGCGCTTCGGGCAGGAACGAGCGAAACTATCGGTGGGCCCTAAAAACTTAACAAGTTTCCTGCTCTGAATACCATGTCAGAATAACTGTGCAGGAATGATTGGATTAGCAATAGTTGGGGTACCAAGTACTCACCCTAGAAGTGTTGTATCCCATAAAGAGTGCCCCACTATAGCCTACAAGTAAGATTGTACTTTGACATCCTTGTCACTGCTGCTGCCTAATGCTGTCTGCCCGATGGTCCAGGTCCCTTCGTAACCGCACGACCCTTCGCGTCACTTCCACCTCTTCAACTTCAGCCTCGGTAGTGTGTGCTGCGGTAAGGACTGCACAGTAATGCTTCATTTTTTTATATTCTTAACACCAACCACAAAAATCTCCCACTCATAGATAGAGAACAGAGATGGTTGTTCCTGAGTTGTAAAAATCTATAGGTGTTTAATAGAGACTTCTTAGGATAGACAAATAACCTAACTTTGACTGAATAAACGGAGTCTAGAAACGGGCTGACTCGCCTCCTTGGAAGATTCGAAACCGGGTTACTGCACCGCACTGGTGCACAACTCCTCTCAACCACTCCAACTCCATCATACAGCCTTCCATCATGCGAACAATCCCGCTATATCCACAGAGAAACAAAATTGCCTCTTCTGGAATCAAACTTGACGACGTGGTTACCATCAAGATCAACGACCATCGCGTTCAAGCTCTTCGTGTGTGCAGTGAGAATCAGTTGGGCTCCCACAGGGCACTGCACCTCGCTCGTGCGCAGCCTGCGAATTCGCACGCACCACCACACCACTGCTTTAGGTCATCAAAAACATGATGTTCAATGTAAAAACTCATGTCTCCCGACTCAGTGAATATCTCGAGACCAAGAATGCAGTGCTCTCGCTTGCTCAAAGTTAGTTTCACAAGACTGAGAATTGAAATTCCGTCTACGCGCTTCTTTCACCCTCTTACGCAATAGGTGGATTCTGACAGGCTCGTAGATGCTACCGGACTGGTACTAGGTGTTTTTCGCCAATGCTCGCTGCAGATGCTGCCAAGCCAGGCCGATGGGGGACCGCAGCTTTCTGCACATTCCGACCACGTCTTTAAGTTGCTCCTCGTTGGCGACTCGGGCGTGGGGAAGAGCTGTCTGTTGCTGCGATTTACCTCTGACACCTATGACGACATGTCGCCCACTATAGGTCATGATTGGTCCGGTTTGAAGCCGCTTGGTTATTTGGCGATAGAGTCTGAACAGATTAAATTTGATTCGTCCTAAGCGTGTCTTCTACACGCCGCGCTTGCATGCATCAGTCTTCTCGTTCTTCCAGCGATAGCACCACGCATTCGGCCATTCTCCAGTCGGCCCATCCTTCCTCCTTTACTCCTTTCCTTCCTTCCGTCCTTCTTTCCTCCTGCCCAGACCTGCCCTTAGCTCTGCTTAGCCCATCCGCCTCCCCGGTGCTTCACCATGCATCCCATCCCTGTCTCCACCTCCCACCTCCCACCTTTCACATGCCTGTCCTGTCCGTGGGGCGCTCAACTCAACCCCCCTTAACCTCCAAGGAATGGGCTTAAAGACAAAACGCGTAGTTTTCAACGTCAAGCGGGTAACTTCATGAGGCGCCTAAATCATTGCAACCTCCCTCACCCCCCAGGAGTGGACTTCAAGATCAAACCCGTGATTGTCAATGGCAAGCGGGTGAACCTCACCATCTGGGATACAGGTCCGTTCTGCTCGCCACCCTGCCACTCACACCACACACAAAGAGCAACCGAGGCGCCTCAGAAGTCGCCCCACAACAAAGCACAACCAGTTACTGATGCGCTGTAAAAGTCGTCTCCCCCATCTCCTTCCATAACCTCCCATTGTACTTTCACTCCTCACTCACTCCTACTTTCAGAGCCCGTTTTCTGTCTTTCCCCCTCCCAATTCCGCTCCACCTCCCCTTTTCCCTCTCCCTGCCCACCGCCCTCGTCCATGTCCCCGGTGTCACCAGCTGGTCAGGAGCGCTTTCGAACGCTCACCAGCTCTTACTACAGGGGGGCATCAGGAATCATTCTAGGTGGGTTTTGAGAGAAGAAGAAAAAAAAAAAAAAAAAAAAAAAACACACACACACACACACACACACACAGCTTCTCTCAAATGCTGACCCGCTCCTACTACCATGGGCGCCTGGAATAATTCTAGGTGGGTTGCACGTTAGCTTGTGTTGTGTGAAGCTTGAAGTGTGTTGGCCAATGCAATGCAACACACTCAGTCGGTCTCTCTATGCTATTCAACCACTCACTCAATCGGTCCATTTCACCTTGTATCATCCTTTCTTAATCTGGTCGTTTTTGCAAAAGTGAACTCAGGTGATTCTTGCCATACTTCCAATTCTCCAATTCCACCATTTCACCATTTCACCATTCCCCTCCCCACCCTCCGTACCCATCACCTTTGCCTTCCTTCGTCCCTCACCTCCCCTTTTCCTCTCTTTGCCCATCCCCCCTCTCGTCCCCATCCCCGTTCCCCTCCCCGGTCCCTCTTTCTCCCTCCTCCATTTCCCCATGTCCCCATCCCGTCTCTCTCTCTCTCTCTCTCTCTCTCTCTCTCTCTCTCTCTCTCTCTCTCTCTCTCTCTCTCCCATCCTCGCCACCGCCCTCCCCTGGGCAGTGTACGATGTAACGCGCAGGGAGACGTTAACGAGTGTGGTGGACGGGTGGATGGCGGAGGTGCAGCGTTACTCCACGCTGCCTGGCTGTGCGCTCATGCTCGTGGGCAACAAGGCTGACAGGGTGAGTAACAGAGTGCAGGGGAGTGTATTTCTTAGGCGCCTCCAAGGATGGCTGAGGAGGTGCGGTGTTACTCCACACTGCCTGGCTGCGCTCATGCTCATTGGCAACAAGGCTGATAGGGTCAGTGAACGAGTGAGAGAGTGAGAGGTCTAGTAAGTGAATGGGTGCAGCGCTATTCCACGCTGCGTGGCTGTGCGCTCATGCTTGTGGGCAACAAGGCTGACAGGGTCAGTGCAGGGCAGGTGTTTCCCTGAGATTTTCCGGAGCTTGATAGTGTGAATGAGTGAGTGAGTGAGTGAGTGAGTGTGTGGGTGGTTGAGTAAGTGCGTGGGTGGGTGGGTGAGTGAGTGAGTGCGAGAGTGAGAGGTTGAATGGGTGAGTGAGTGAGTGATCTGGTGAGTGAGAGAGTGAACCTGTAATTGAGTGAGTGAGTGAGTGAGTGAGTCAGAGAGCGGCAGTGGGACGGTAGGGCAGTGTGCGGCTCTGTGCTGCCATGTCTTCCTTGGGGTGATACAACTGTGCTCTCTATTCAGGGACAGAGCCGCACTGCGATATTTGCACGCGCAATGTCAACCTCCCAAAATCCACAGGAACCAGTGTCTAAAAAATCTCCAAACCACGTCTCCTTCTCTGCCCTCTGCACAACCCCAATAAAACTCAGATTTTCAAGACTTTTCAGAAGCCTGCCTCTCCCTCTGTCCCGCCATGCGACCCATGCTCACAGGAAGCGGATCGCGAGGTGGGCAAGGAGGTGGGGGCGGAGCTGGCTCGCTCCTGGGGCTGTCTCTTTCTCGAGTGCTCCGCTAAAACGCGCCACAACGTGCAGCAGTGCTTCTCCGAACTTGTACACAAGGTGGGGGAAGAGGCGGGTGAGCAGAGGAGGAGGGGTGGAGGGGCTTGTTGCTGCATGTTTCAGGCGCTTGGAAGGGGGGAGGGGGTGTACTGGTGGTTTTTTCATGCTGCAAGGTGAAGGGGTACTGTGTTGACCATGCTTCTTTCTCGCCATTCCATCTTTTCAGAGGAGAATTCCTGTTTCTTTTTCTCCCTAACCCCAGTGCTCGAGTTTCAATTGCACTCACTCTCTCCGCTGTTTCTTATGCCCACCCCCCAACCACTCTCCCTCTCCGTGTCTCCTTTCTCACTTAACCCATCCCGCCCTCGTTCCCATCATCCAATCACGGCATGACACACCTCTTTCTCTCTATCCGTATGTTCCCTCAAATGATAGATCATGGAAACGAGCTCCTTGGTGGACCCAAGCTCAGCAGCACATGCTGATCTGCCCAGGAACCTGCAACCCAGACAAGGGGAGAGCGGTGGTGGCCCAGGCTCGTGTGCTTGCTGACAGTGGCTTCAGTTGAGTGCACACTGGCAGTGTCACTTGTCCTTTCCAGGCTGTCGCACACTGGCAGGGGTGCTGCTGCCATGCAGATACATACATGAACAGTGGACGCCGATTTCGTGGCACCTCAAAATCAGACTCCGCACTGGCAGCGGTGGTGGTGCCATGCGGTTTCATGAACATTGGCCGCCGCTGGGGTGGTTGCTGATGCACTTGCGGGTACATGTAGAAGGCATATCGCAAGACTACAGATATGGTATGGGTTGTGTATGTAAGGTACGGTAGGTAGGTATCCTTGTCAGGCTGTGTTTTAGATGAATGCAAATAATCAATTGAACCTAATTTGCACTGATTGGGCTGTGGTACAGTAGCTCTTCACACTGGGAGATGAGCCATAACTTGACGAGCATCTCACTTGGAACACCTTCAAGTTATTCAAATGTATTAATATCGTACCAAGTATTGTGTATCGATCATCGTTCAAACATATCATTACAAAATGGGGCATTGTTGCCATGCCATCCCTACCTGAATAACGAGTGCCAATGAGAAAATGGTGCAAAAATCCTGGTTCCACTACACGATCCGAAATAGCCACATGTAAACATCCAGGTACTTGCTACCTCCGCCCACCAGACAGCCACAGAAAGCGAATGCGTTAACAGTAATGGTGCTGTGAGTGAGGAAGCCCACACTACTCATGCAAGAGCACACAAAGCAAGCCTGGCAAACTGCACTCCTCTCCCCTCCTCTCTCCCCTTCCCTCCTCTCCCCTCCTCTCTCCCCTCCCCTCCCCTCCTCTCTCCCCTGCTCTCCTCTCCACTCTCACTACACAGCAGTGGTTTCCGAATCCGTCCCGGCACCCTCCTCCGCACCTGCACCTGCCACACCCGCCACCTCCATCACCTCAACCTTGTACGCAAAATCCGCAGGGATCCAGGCGCGGCTCTTGGCCGTCTCTGCGAGCGCGGCAAACTGCAGGAAGGCGTTGGGGAGGTCGAGCACGAGGTCGGGGAGAGCATCGGCGACGCGCTGGAAGCCACGGGCCATCTGGTTGGTGGAGATGAGGGCCTCGTCCGAGGCCTCTTGGAGCAGCTGCAGCACGCGTGGCTCGTGCTTCGGCTCTTCCATCGCTCGCACCAGTGCCTGCTTCACAATCTGCGGAGCGTGGACGGAGAGCAGTGGAGAGGGTGCGTGGTAGGGTGCGGTCGGGTGGGGAGGGAGCGATGGAGGTGCATTGTTGATGTTGGTGTGTTCCAACAAAATCAAGTGCTCATAACTGAAGCATCCCACATCCACATGTCCATCCCCTCCAAATCCGCATCCCCATCCCCATCCCCATCCACAAACACTTCCAAGAGTCGGCATCGCCACGCGCACGCACCTCGTGGTGGAAGAAGGGCAGGTTGAGCTCGCGGATGCAGCGGCACGCCTCGCCAAGCTCCCCGCCCGCCACATACTCGGACAGCAGCGACGTGACACTCTCCTTGGCGTCCGCCACGCTGCGCCCCACTGCCGCACTGCCCCCCCAGCACCGCAGCAGCCGCTCCCCCGCGTGCCGCGCTGTAATCAGTGCCTGTGCCATGTGCACCACTTCCCGCGCCAGAGACGACGCCGCAACTGCCGCCAACGCCGGCCCGCCGCCCCCCACTGCTGCTTCCTCCGCCTCTTCGGCCGCCGGTGCCGCTGCAGCTGCTGCAGGGCCGGCAGCGTCGGCAGTGGTGGTAGAACCGGTGGCGGGGGCGCCGGAGGCAGGGGTAGGGGGAGGCGCGGAGGTGGTGTCGGCGGGAGGAGCATCAGAGCCGGTGGGGGTGGCGGGAGGGACGTTGCCAGGGAGGCCGAGGACGAAGTGCGGGGCGAGCACGTCGTCTATGACAGCACGGGCGATGAAGAGGGCGAGCTGAGAAGCGGCATCGGGGATGTCGAGAGCCAGGTCGTCCACTGCTTCCAGCAGACGCAGGAAACCCATCTCCACCTGTGGGAGAGAGGGCGGAGCAGGGGCGCGGTGCGGGGGAAGGGGAAAGGGCAAGTGGGGTGTGTGAAACGGAGAGCGGATGCTGTTAAGGCATCGGGGATGTCGAGAGCCAAGTCGTCCACTGCCTCCAGCAGACGCAGGAAACCCATCTCCACCTGCCAGGGGGGAAGTTGGAATGGGGAAGGAGTGTATGGGGTGTATTGGACAGAGGGTGAGTTGGCAGATTGAAGGCATCGGGGATGTCGAGCGCCAGGTCGTCCACTGCTTCCAGCAGACACAGGAAACCCATCTCCACCTGGGGTGGGAGAGCAGACGTGGGGGGAGGAGGGGATGCAAAGGGGAGAGGAACGGTAAGTTGGTGGTTGTGGGTCTGTGTGTGAGCGGGTGAGTTGAGTTGGGAGGGGAAGTGTTTCTGTGGGTGCGGAGGGAATCAGTTTGGGTGAGTGAGTCACAGTTCCCTAACAATCACAGAATCAGAGAGTGCCGTACTCTCCTTGGCGCACCCACTGCTCCACCTATTGTACCGCTTCTGACAGTTTCCTCAAAGCCGTACAGAAGTCATCGTTTCATTTCGATTGCCCCAATCACCGCCCCACCTCTTGCCCCACCTCTTGCCCCACCTCTTGCCCCACCTCTTGCCCCACCTCTTGCCCCACCTCTTGCCCCACGCCATGCACTTGGCCCTGATCCGTACGTAGCAATATTGGAACGGTCTGTGCCCCACCCCTTTCTCCTCACGCGGAAACCGCCACGCACCTCATCAATGGGCAGCACGTTTTGGAAGAGGAGAGTGAACCCTCTTGAACCACCCTTAGACATCCATCCACCCTGCGCCCCCCCCCCCCCCCCTTGACGCACACCTGGTCGGTGGGCACCACATCTTGGTACTGTAGGTACTAAGGCAAACGGTTGACCTGGAACATGGTGTGCTTCATGCTGGGATGTTGAGAGATAAGTAACTAATTACTCAACCTTGAATTTTCCCAAGGGGATACACTCTCCTCTTAACCCACCCACTGCCCCATCCCCTGGTCCCGCACCACGAATTTGGCTCCGGTCGGCGGGCAGCATATCTTAGAAGAATCTTTAACCTTTTCCCCGCCCACTTGCCCCATCCCTTTTCCCACGGCTTGACCTGACCTCATGCACGTGGTCGGTGGGCAGGGCAGCAGCAACAGCACGTCTTGAAACTGGGAATACTCCCCCAGTTGCCCTAACGGCCATGCTTTCACGCACCTCATCCATGGGCGGGAGCACTCCCTTGGAAGAGAGCGTATCCCCCTTGACCCGCCCTCAGACATCCACCACTCCCCTCCCTCCCCTGCACGCGCACATGATCGGTGGGCGGCACGCCTTGGAAGAGCGCCGAGAGCAGCTGCTAGGACATCTCGCAGCTGCTCTCATTAAAGAATCTCGAGTCATGACAGAATCTCGAGTCATGACAGAATCTCGAGTCATGACAGAATCTCGAGTCATGACAGAATCTCGAGTCATGGCAGAATCTCGAGTCATGACAGAATCTCGAGTCATGACAGAATCTCGAGTCATGACAGAATCTCGAGTCATGACAGAATCTCGAGTCATGACAGAATCTCGAGTCATGACAGAATCTCGAGTCATGACAGAATCTCGAGTCATGACAGAATCTCGAGTCATGACAGAATCTCGAGTCATGACAGAATCTCGAGTCATGACAGAATCTCGAGTCATGACAGAATCTTGAGTCATGACAGAATCTCGAGTCATGACAGAATCTCGAGTCATGACAGAATCTCGAGTCATGACAGAATCTCGAGTCATGACAGAATCTCGAGTCATGACAGAATCTTGAGTCACGACAGAATCTCGAGTCACGACAGAATCTCGAGTCATGACAGAATCTCGAGTCATGACAGAATCTCGAGTCATGACAGAATCTCGAGTCATGACAGAATCTCGAGTCATGACAGAATCTCGAGTCATGACAGAATCTCGAGTCATGACAGAATCTCGAGTCATGACAGAATCTCGAGTCATGACAGAATCTCGAGTCATGACAGAATCTCGAGTCATGACAGAATCTCGAGTCATGACAGAATCTCGAGTCATGACAGAATCTCGAGTCATGACAGAATCTCGAGTCATGACAGAATCTCGAGTCATGACAGAATCTCGAGTCATGACAGAATCTCGAGTCATGACAGAATCTCGAGTCATGACAGAATCTCGAGTCATGACAGAATCTCGAGTCATGACAGAATCTCGAGTCATGACAGAATCTCGAGTCATGACAGAGTCTCGAGGTACCCCAAACACCCACCCCTCCCGTTCCCATCCCTGCATACACACCTGGTCGGTGGGCAGCACGTCTTGGAAGAGCGCGGAGAGCAGCTGAGAGGCCATCTCGCGCTCGCGGTTGTTGCGGTCAAGCGCCATGGTGACGAGGCGCTTGACGAGGTGGTGGTGCAGGTCGGGGAATGCCAGCTCCTCCAGCGACCGCGCCACCTCCACCACATCACCTGATTCAAAGTACTCGGCTACGATCAGCGATGAGCGGGCTTTGAAGTCCTGCAGCACCTGTAAGGGCAGGACAAGGGGAGGGTGGGGAGGGAGGGGAGCGGAGGGGAGGGGAGGGGAAGGGACGGGACGGGACGGGAGGGGAGAGGAGGAGAGG